TTGTATGTGCATGTTTGTGTTCGCTTATGCACGAATCTCTTCACCCAACACTTCCACTCGAAATGGAAGTAAGCTCAGCAATTATGAAACAAGAGATTCCTCTAAACCCAACTTTTCTTCGTAAATATAAGACTAGACTACCGGCGAAACGTCTGGGAATGTCGCATAGCAACAGTCTGACGCTGAAAAGTGTCATGACTAAAAATAGAGAAAATGGGATGAAATCCACTCTATAAGCCTGACATTTTGTAGGAAGTCTAGACTGTAGCATCAAGTTACCTTAACTTGGTATAATTTTAAAGCAGATGAGTGTCCGTGGATGAGATCATCTTCAGGTTTAGAAGGATCTAGCAGAAATAAGAGCAGCTTCGAGGTTGGTGGGCCTGAATCGCTTTAATTTGTGTGTATTTTCAAGGTGCTGGTGTTGAACTGTGTAGCAGACGCGTGTGCTTAATTGCATCTATCTGTCCTCATAATGCGGTAGATGTGCTGATTTTGCCTCTTTTTGACAGCTCTCTTTTTTTTCTTCCATTTGCGCGACTCCGCTGTCTCCACTCCCTTCCGCTCGAGACGCTGTAGAACCAAGAGGCGTCCGTCAGACAAGGCCTGGCAACGGGGCCTATCTTGTCTATCAGATTCGCCAACAGAAACCGATGGTGCGAGACGAGCTCAACTTGGCCTTTCAGACCTTGCAACAGGAGGGGCCCATTGTGCGCGTGGTTGAATCACCCTCCAAATTTTACGAGATCTTCCTGGTAAGTATGACAATTTAGTCCGATATTCCAGCCTAAAAACGCATGTCAGGCAAGGCTATTAATGGGCGCAAAAGTAGAGCACAATGAATCATCCTCACTTCTTGGTTTGATGTATTTGCAGATCTGCCGTTTGGCTGTTCCAAACTCATCCGGCATGCCTTTTTATTGCATATTCTCTCTTTGAAGCAATGGCATCTTGGCAAGCCCATCACTTTTCCCCAAACTATAATTTATTTCACAATTAAATTATCCGGTTCTCATTCCCTCATCTTGCTCATCTGTCCCTTTTTCTGTGTTCGAATTCCTCTTGTCTTAGGAGGCAACTTTTGGTGAAATTAGTATGCTATGCAAAATTGTTCCAACATTAATTCTTCGAATGACTTTTAGTTTTACTAGTTTAATGGCGTGCAGAGTGGAGTATATTGTTATATGGCAGTAATTAATTGTTACCGCTATAATAGTTTTTGGAACTCAAGCTCTAGTACATGCAAGTCTCAGCATTACAAATTACTACGGTATGTTAGCACGAAATGCCTCGAATAGCCCTTATCACTATTACGTTCAATGGCAAGTAGACAGTAGTATATAAGAATATGACACATCAACTGTAGCAAAACTATTCCCGTTCTTTCTCATAGGGTTCTCCGCAAAAGTATTACAGCTGCGCTGTGAGTCATCAACACGTAAGACAACTATTTAGAAGTCCATTTCAGTGTTGTCTTCCACAATTGTTTGTCCTTGTGTTGCCATCTTCTTGTGACGAACCATTGTGCCCTCTACAGTCTCGTTGAGATCGGCATAAAGGTTCGAGAAAACGTGTTTCTGAGGGAGCCGACGAAAAGGCTGGTGAATGTCCGCCACTCTTTCACATTATGCTTTATCCTCTCATCTATCTTTCACTACTCACCTGTTTTTTTATGGGATTATCATCTCTCCTCTTCTCACGGCCGTTACCTCTTACGTATTTCCACCTCACTTAACCTGCATCTTCATTTATGTGTTTTTGTAAGTTGTTCTATCAACCAATCATAGGTATCACAACAATTTCGCGCACTGCTTTCTTTTCTGTAAGCTACTTGATTTTGCTTTATTCACCGGCCTTATTCGGCTTCTTAGTAAGTAAGGAAAGAAGAGTTTCATCTTTCCCTGACGGGACTCAAACTTTTGGCTCCGATTAAGATGGACAAGAACGTTTAAGTGCTCAGTATCGGAGTCAGTTATTCCGAAATTTCGACATATTCTGGTGTAGTCAGGCCGTCAGTTTGCTTGTTTGTGCTTCTGTTCATTTTTTCATATATCCGTCCGAGTGTATTTATCGTTTATGAGTCGTTTATACATATTATACATCAATCCATTTTTGTCTGTATCATGTCTGCATGTCTGTTTGTCAATATTTCACGGTCCTTTGTTCTATCCCTATGGC